TGATCTATAATAAATTGTAAACCCTGCCAAAACCCCCATCTTGGGGTCATTAAAAGAACAAAATAGAAGCTACACTACTTTAGCATACTTCCATATTCATATGACTTGTCATGGATTTTTGTTCTTGAAAAGATTTTTACAGATTTTTTTCTTATTCATTCCTATATATAACTTAATATATCCCAAACAAGTTTCATTTTTCTGCCCTAGTTATTCTTGAGAAAAATTCAAAAGGTGTCATTAAATTTTCACTTTTCTTATCTCCCCCAAAAAGAGGATTGGTCCTTCATTTGAAAAAGAAAAATCTTGATTTCCCTTGGTGTAGGGCAAGTTTGGTTGAAACATGTTCAGTTATTCTTGAGAAAAAGTCGAACATTGTTAGAGTTCTCACAGGAAAGTCGGACTCCGGACACCCTTCGATCAGAAAAGCTCATTTTAGCCTTTGGCTTAGATGAGCTGAAATGAATGACGCACAAGTATGTACGTACATATTCAATCATTGCTTTATTATAAAATGTACGTTCATTTGACTGCTAACACACTTTAAAATATCAACAAAAAAAATTATCGTACGAGCAAAAAAGTAAACATATACTATTGAATAGATTGTATTTATTTATTACGAAGTGAGCAATAAGATGAAAGTAAACATTTGTAATTTAACCAACATGTATTAAAGAACTGCTTACTGAAGAGTTTTTACTCCAGGCCAACAAAGATAAACAACCTTTAACATGATGACGCCTAATAATTCAAATACAACAGAAAAAACAGCAGCAGCTACCATGGCACATATTAGTCCTGAAAGTAATGAAAATAAGCGAATTTAGAAATACGTATATATATCTATCATAGATGGAATGTTTTGTATATTCTTAAATGCCATCTTATTTGTCTTTATTATGCTCAGCTGATAATGAATGCATCTTACCAGTATAGGTATTCAAGCACCATGCTTCATGCAACACATGACTTCTTGTTAGAGTGGTCCACCAAGAATACATATCTTTAAGAAATAAAGTACATGTAAGAGAAGATAAACTAATGATTCTTCAAGTAAAAATCTGCAAATATTTGAAATCTTATTTGCAAAAATTTAATTCTGTCTGTCTGAGACAGGAAAAGTGTCTCAAAACAAATAGAATGTGTCCTTCTTCAAAGCTAAATTGTTAATTGTATCTTAAGCCGCTATTCCTTTCTTCTCATTTCTCTATTGCAGCAAAAGAACTTGAAGAAAATTCTTGAAAAATGTCTTTGAGAGCTTTTTTTGATAAGCTGAATGTCTGACAACATTCTTCTATGTTTTGAAACTGAAACCATTACGTAAGATCTTGTTCTTTAAACAAAACTTGTTCAAACTTGAGAGACTTCTTTTACTTTTAAAGAGACTGATATTTTTGTTTATCTATTTATTTATATTGTTTTGTCAATTCAAATTAAAACCTACTAAATTGTTGTAAAAATAAAACCGTAGTAAGTTTATTTTTTATTTTTGTTTTCCCTCTTAATATTTATTTGCTTTATTTGACTTTCAAAACGCGCGGTTTTCAAATTGTCGGCATAACCAGGTGCTGTTATACGACAATCACTGACAACAACCAAAAACAAGAGGCCCATGGGCCACATCGCTCACCTGAGAAGCTTTGACCATTCCGTTCTTTAACAGATTCCCCCCTTGTAATACATATTGTGACCCCACCCTACATCATAATTTAAACAATTTGAAATCTACACTACCATAGGATGCTTTGATTCAACATTGTAAAACTTTGATTCCCTATTGTGGCCCCGCCCTACCCACGGGGGTCGTAATTTGAACAATTTAGAATCTACACTACCCTAGTATGCTTCCATATAAGTTTCAGCTTTTCTGACCCAGTGGTTCTTGAGTAGAAGATTTTCAAAGATTTTTCCTATATATTTCTATGTAAAACTTGGATTCCCCATTGTGGCCCCACCCAACCCCCGGGGGTCATGATTTGAACAATTTAGAATCTACACTACCCCTGGATGCTTCCACATAAGTTTCAGCTTTTCTGGCCCAGCGGTTCTTGAGTAGAAGATTTTCAAAGATTTTCCCCATATATTTCTATGTAAAACTTTGATTCCCCATTGTGGCCCCGCCCTATCCCCGGGGGTCATAATTTTAACAATTTAGAATCTACACTACTCCAGGATGCTTCCACGTAAGTTTCAGCTTTTCTCGCCCAGTGGTTCTTGAGAAGAAGATTTTCAAAATTTTTCCCATATATTTCTATGTAAAACTTTGATTCCCCATTGTAGCCCCCCCCCCTATCCCGGGGGTCATGATTTTAACAATTTAGAATCTACACTACTACAGGATGCTTCCACATAAGTTTCAGCTTTTCTGGCCCAGTGGTTCTTGAGTAGAAGATTTTTAAAGATCTTTCCTATATATTTCTATGTAAAACTTTGATTCCCCATTGTGGCCCCGTCCTATCCCCGGGGGTCATGAATTTAACAGTTTAGAATTTACACTACCCTAAGATGATTCCACATAAGTTTCAGCTTTTCTGGCCCAGTGGTTCTTGAGAAGATTTTTTAATGAACCCACCCTATTTTTGTCTTTTCTTGATTATCTCCCCTTGTGAGGGGACTTGGCCCTTCATTTTTACAATTTAAATTTCCCTTTACCCAAGGATTCTTTGTACCAAATTTGGTCAAAATTGGCCCAGTAGTTCTTGAGAAGAAGTTGAAAATGTGGAAAGTTTATAGACGGACGGACAGCTAGACGGACGGACGGACGACGGACAAAATGTGATCAGAAAAGCTCACCTGAGCCTTCAGCTCAGGTGAGCTAAAAATGAGAAATCGATTTTATTGTGAAAATATTGAATGTTTCTTCGCCAAGCGCCCGGAATTAAAAGTAATGATCGCGGATCCTTTGGATGAGACCCCAGAAACCGAGATCCGAGGCGATGGCAAGATAGAGATGGCTCACTGTTCAGTGGCCCTGAGTGCAGATTAAAGTGAAGCCCTTCACTGGTATATGGTGACATTTCTATGAGTAAAAAAATCTCAAATGTGATGTAAAATAATGCAACTAAATAATGCTTTAAATTTATATCATTCTTTTTTCTTTAACTTTAATTTCATGATCTAATTGGAATTTTACCGAGGAAAAATTAGTTATCTTACCTACTTTTCATACTAAGATAAACCTTTCAAATCATTTTTCCTTTTTGCTTTTGCAGCCAATTGCAGTCTTTAAAGTACAGTTGCTGTAAACTGGAGCGTTTAACATTTGCTCGACCGTTATGTTTACACGGTTTAAAACGAGACGATCCCCTTTTTTCAAAAGTAAAGGATATAAAGTTAAAGTTGAGAGTTTACGGAAGAAATAAGAGCATAAAGTCCATGGGTATTTTAAGTAAGTGTAATATTATACACGATTTATTGTATTAACTTTTCAGAGGATTTACCTTGATTTTCAAACCTAGTTTTGGCTATATTGACATTAAATGTGTCTAAAATTTGAATCAGTCAATAAAAAAGCATAACATTGTCCCATTTATTACTATAACATGCTGTTATTCTGGAATTTAACGGTCCCAGAATTAATCAAGAATAAAGTGGCGGGATACTGTTACTATTAGACGATCAGTTTGTACACAGACATGGAAAAGGTTTTATTTTGATATTAAATCAAAATGTCTTCAGGATATATAAGATGGAATTAAGGTTAAATCCCTAGTAAGTGCATAAAGTTTATGGACTATTTTGAGGTGAACAATATACCATGTATCTCTTAAATTCTGTTTAATGCCATTTCAATGTCTATGGATGGATTTAAACTTAATTCCATCATGTATAGTTTGAGGTCATATTGAGTATAAAAATAGAACATTTCTTATCCAAGCTTTGATCTCCATGATGGGCGCCCTGTGATGAATGAATGTTTCTAGAAGTTTCTTTTATGAATAAATGTTTCTCGAAGTTTCATTTGTGTAATTCGTCACACTTGAGTGCTTACAACTTACTTTGATGAAAGAAAAAATTCAATTGTCAAGAAAGAAATCACTAAAATTTGGAAAGCAATTTAAGTAAGATCGGTTAAACACCGGTATGACGCGTCTATTCAAAATTCTACGGTTTGCTGTGTGGAGTGTGGAAGTGGCCAGTGCAGTCCAGCATATAGAAAAGGTGACATTACTTCCAGAGTTTATCCGAGTTTGATTTCCATTTCGATGTTGAGCATGTGCTACATGTAAAGTTTTAAATCACTGACAAAAACATAAGAAAATATGAATATTTTTTATACATGTAATGATGTATCTTTTTTCAGACTGGCTGCTCTTTGGTAATGTTATATAATATCCAGGCACGTAGCATCGTTTTTGAAAGTGGGGGGCCAACCAGAGAAAATTTTTTTTTTACTTACCTGTGAAGTTGACAATCAAAAAAAAGGGGGGATTGCCCAGGCAACCTTTCAATGGACATTTTCAATAGTAAAGGTAATAGTAAAGGTAATGTTGCCCCACCCTTCGGCCTTCGGCCTCCCCCCCCCCCCCGTTGCTACGTACCTGATATCCAACATAAAAATTCTCTCTGTATCCCCGGACTCTTAAGAATCGTTGTTTAAAAATATTTTTATTGTTGGCAAAGATTAGTTTGAAAGCCAAAATATAACTATTCATCTGTTTTTGTGTATAAAAACGAAACATGACATCGGTCTTGCAGTGGAACTGTATTTGCTTTTAAAGTAACCATGGACTTCGGCAAAATTACTGTAATGCACAAAACGTAATGTATACAATTTCGTTATAAATTACTAGCAATGCCTATTTTGTTAAAAATCTATTTAAGGAATAAAATTAATAGCCAAGTCCAAAATATGATTATGAAGAGTATCAATATATGCAAAACATACTAACAGAGCAAAGCAAAAATATCTTAATGAATATGTATTTGTATAATTATGTAATCTACAAGTTTTCTTGGTGCTTTGATAAGGGTACATATTTTAACATAGATCTTACCTTGATTTTCAGTTTAAAATCCCAATCAACAAACCACTATCACTGAATCCCAATCAACCACCCCTATCACTGAATCATGTAAATAAAGATACTCTGTTGAGCGTTTATCCTTGCGTAAAATTTATATAGAATTACTGTAAATAAACATGAATTCTTTATTGTTAAAGAAGATCCAGTATAACCATTTGTTCAGAAAGATTAAAAAATAGTGGTAATTGTTTTCAGATTTTCTTTATCTTGCTTTTATTAACATTTAGTTTAAATGTAAATTGATAATCAAGCAGAGGCTGTTCAAGGAGTTTGTACACAAAATGTTTTAAAATTATATTCAATGTTTGCGAAACGCATAAATTTTACATTTTATGATTGAGAAATCACAGATTGGACGATGCAGTTGTGTGTCAATATTTATAATTGTATAACGGCTGAATTTAGTTTTCCGTCTGTAATTGTATTTCATTCATTTTCTTCATAACATTTTGTGAGTTTTGAAGTTAGAAGGCCATTATTGCTAATTTTTTAATTGTCTAGCATGACGACTTCTTTTACAAGAACCGTTTGCGGTAGAGCGCTCACTACATAATCGGGAAGTCGAATCTCGGCAGCCACTGACTGATAGAAAATTGTAAAATATATTGATATAAAATATATGTTCCAGACTGTGTGGTATCTTTTATTTTAAGTTCACTGAGATATATTGAGTCAACACATGAATGGAAAACACTATCGTTAATTGATAATACGCCGTCGATATATCTTTATGTCGATGTAAAGGTCACAGCTATTTTTTTTTCTTCCCAAGTATAAGTTTTTTAAGGAAGCTCTAAACACTAATAGAAACTGCTTTTTGGACTTGGAGAAAAATATATCATATAAACGTGTGCATATTCAGACTGTTTCATTCATTTATAATATTGGGTACCTGCCTTATTTCTGCAAGAAAAATGTTCAAAGACATATTGAACTTTTTGTTATCAGAAATCTCTGCTGTTTACCTACCTTGGTAAAATTATAATGAAAATAATGAGTTTCATTACTTTTTTGGTATTATACAATGCTAAAATATTTTAATCTAATGCAAATCGTGTAATTAAATGAAAATAACATTTTATTCAATTTTACTTCCAAGGGCAGATCACTCTATGTGCAAAATTACCTTAATATTCGAACTCTTTAGTGTGCAGTGTTTAGAGCTTCCTTAAATGAAAACGGGTGTGTCCAGTAGACACAAGAGACTGGAAAATCAGGATTTTTGAACTTTTTGTTATTCACCTATGTGAAATCTTTTTTCATTATAGATGTTAGTGACGTCGTGTGCTGTTTACAGTGCTTTAAATAACCTTAGGCATTAAAATTAATGAAAATAAATGTGTTATTTGATAAATGTTACTTTTTTTTGGTATTATACAAAGTTGAGCCCTTTAAAAATATATTTAATCTAATGCAAATCGTGTAATTAATGTTCTTATAAACAAAATAACATTCTTTTTTTCATATTGAAAGTATTGTGTTACTTTTTGAACGTCCCCTTCTTAATCGACAAAATCAAATATTTATGTTTGATATCATTTGGTATGTTAGAATGCTTATGAAACACCATTCAAAATTAAAACAATAAAAAAGGATTTTTTTTTGAAGTAACATGTTAGCTCATTTGAAGTAACATGTTAGTGAGTGAATATAAGCTATGACAATAGAAATACGTATTAGCATTTCTATGCAAAGGACCTAATTAAATGCAAGCAGGTTATACTTTAGTTATTGTATAGAAGATTAAAATATTCCTTTTAGCATTACACAATATTATTATATAAAATTCATTAAGATATGACCTTGCACAGAGCATACTTGTTTCCTTGAATTGTTTTTATAATCTCGAGTAATAATAAGCAATGTTTATTGACTATATTATGCTAAGTATACTTTTGACACAAAAATATATCTTTTTTCTGTAAATATACTCGTATATTTCTTATGCGTTTCTTTTACATCATTTGCATAGAAAGACCTTTACCTAGTCTGAACTTTTTGTTCTTCAGAATTGTTTGACAGTGTCTATCCAAGCACTTCGAAGGGAAACTCTCCCTATCACTGTTACTATAATTTTTTTAAGACCTCTAGTCAAAAGGTTTTTTAAAAATAAAGATATTGAATATAAATTTCATTCAACTGACCTAGAAAAGTTCAAATTTCATTTTTATTTAAGCGATGCATGTATAATATGACAAAAATCCCACACCGAGGCCAGTGAAGATAACAATATTTTGGAAAGCTGAAACTATTTAGTTTAAAGTAGACCGAAGTTCTATCCTAATTCAATAGCTTTAAACTCAAGGTTGCCGAGTGGAATGTAAGCAAATTTCGTAGCTCCTCAAGTTCAAGTTCATTTTATTATGCTGAAATTATGAAGTCAATGATAATACCAATTATAACATATGAATCTGAAATATGGATAACTGACTTTAAATGTGCAGACCAGTTTCCTTTTGAAAAAAACACACACTTGATATTTAAAGAGGTAGAAAAGGCGTAATATAGTTAAAATATTATAAACTGAAGGAAAGGGAAAATGTATAACAATTAATTCATTTAAAGAAGACAAAAAGATAAAAAGGAGAACACATAGCATCATGCAGATTTAATATTTATCAACATTTATTTCCCAATTTTCAGTCGACATTTTTAATATTAAATAACAATAAGTTCTAATTGATTCTTTAAAAAGTTTAATTACATTAGGTCTTTCTTATATTATCTATTCATTGGAAACATTTTTCAACAAAGGTGTAAGAATGATATTAATATTGAGAAATATACAATTTTGTTCACCTCATATTTCTCACTTTATATACTTGTATTAATTGTGTTAATTTATGTTATGTTATTATTATTCATGACTGTATGCCGATATGGTAATTGTCAATAAAGTGAATTGAGTTATGACTTACCTGAGGTGCACAGCAGTGACACATAAAAAGACGTCAAAGGCGTAATATAGAAAATGAACATGGAAAAATGGAAGGAATTCTGAGATCAAGGAGAACACGCAACATCATACAGATTTAATATTTATCAACATTTCTTCCCCAATTTTCTGTCGACATTTTAAATATCAAATAACGTAAGTTCTAATTGATTCTTTAAAAAAATTTTAAAAACATCAGGTCTTTCTCATATAATCTATCCTCCGCAGGAAACATTCTTCAACAAGCTAATTCGGAGAAAAAAAGGCCATGCACTTTATATCTGAATTTGTGTCTTTATTATATGTATAGATGGTTCTTTTTATATAGCACATCTAATGATGATTTTATATTTCTGCAGATGTCACAGCTTTTTTATTCATGATGCAAAAGTCAAAAAAAGAAAAAAAAATGGATCACAAGGGATTCGAACGTGTGTCCTCTTGCACGTGAAGCGAGAGACATACTACTACACCACGGAGCCACTTCGTGCTGTCGGAATTTATATGCAAACAATAGGTCACATACATGTATATATAGCTATCGCAAAAACAAATTTGAATGTGATAGCTAAAAGATTAATAAGAATTAAAAGTCCGCCGACAACCTGTATTATATATATAAGTCATGATGGTTGTGCCAAGCGTAATTAAACCTTTGAGAGGGGTGAGAGAGAAAGTTTTGTTTTCATTGCAAAAGCTCAAAAGACGAAAAAGATATTGTTACACAAACAGGTAGTTATCTTAATTTGACAAAATGATATAGGCCATAGGGATGCAAAATTTCATTGCGAAAAGATATATGTGGAAACGAAAGCGTTACAGACAGACGGACATACCCCCCACTTTTCAAGCGGGGGACAACATAAATGTAAGAATGATGACGGCAGAGATTTGATGCTTGGATCAAATCTTGTGGTCCATTTTAATTTTACGCCGCTTTTGCCAGCCTTTTTTGTGTTTCTTTCTAAGGTTTAAAAAAAATTAACATTTAAATCAAATCTCTGATGTTTTTAATCTTAGTTTTACCCTACTGTATTATTTTTTTTTAAAATTCAGATGTTTTTAGTTTACTGTCTTTTGCGTTTATTTTGCATTTCAGTATATTTTACCCAATTACTTAACTGGAGCTTTTGACTCACTTTCTTGGCATTCATGTTTTAATTTCAATACTCGGGTAAAGATGTACAAGTTCATCTAGTCAAAATTACAAAAGTAAGACATAAAATGAAAGTTTCAAATTCATGTAAGAAAACAGGTTTTAAAAGCAAACATAGATAAATTATTGTGTAGGGTTTTTAAAAGAGGCCTCTAGATAAGAATTCATGAATACATTATAAATGAATCCAGTTTTTTTTAAATAACTAAAATCTTGGTTGCATCGAACTCGTTGAATGTTAATTTGTGAGCTGTATGAGGGTTGTTCCGAAAATAATGTTACTTTTACAATAAATCCCTTAATAAATGACGCCAAAATTATTGGCATATTGTGCAGGCCAAACGCCAAATTTTACTGCAAAAATTGAAATAAAAATTGAAATAGTGTTAAACATTTCTACATTTTCACAAATTAGTCAACCTTTATCGTTATTTACCCTCGTATCGACAGCTAAAAGAGATCTATAGGCGCATTGAAATGATTACAGAAATAAACTTCGGACAATTCAAATAATTTTGATAACTTAGAGCATGTTGATTTATTGTAAAATGGCATTAGAGATCATTTAAAAGCATCGGGAATAAGACGCGTGAAAAATTTACCAGTAATAGAAAATGAGATCCAAAACTAATGTCATAAGTTACGTCATAAAGTCATCGATTACGTTTTTGTCGTGCAGCGATAGCAAACCTGACATTGAATTTATTGTCATATTTTTAAAAGTATTGGATAAATTTAATTTAAATTGTAGAAGCCATATCAAATGGAGATAAGAGTATATGATTTTTTTAATGAACTCCTTTGAAGATTTTATTGCATATGTGGCATTACTTTTGGACCAGCCCTTGTAGGAGGGGTTCTCAAAAGGTTCGTGTATTGATTCATTAACTGTGTTTTGTTTAACATCCCTCTCGAGAATTTTTCA